GAACAATGTAATTTTAATGTTTATATTTATTTATGTATTTGAACTTGATGTTTTTGAAATGCATGAAATATTTAGTGTTTACTTTCACTGTTAGATGAATTCTGGATCTTTCTAAAGTACAATATTGGTATTAACAGCATTTTGGTACTGCCTGAAATAAATAATAATACACTAATATTGCAATTTTGCTTCAGTATTACAGTCAATACCTTGGCAGTGAGCTTCGTCATATACAAACAGTGGTTTTAAATTATATTAGAGGCTGGGTGTGGTGGTTCACGTACTTCAGGAGACTGAGGTGGGAGGGTCGCTTGAGCCCAGGAGCTTGAGACCAGCCTGCACAACATAGACCTCGACTCTATAAAAAACAAAAGATACTTAGCTGGGTGCAGTGGCATGTGCCTGTAGTCCTGGCTCGCTGGAGGTGGAGGCAGGAGGATCATTTCAGCCCAGGAGTTCAAGGCTGCAGTGAGCTATGATTGTGCCACTGCACTCTAGCCTGGGCAGCAGAGCAAGACCCTGTCACTAAAATAATAATAATAATAATAAATTATATTAGAGATAGGAGGAAACTTCAGGGTTCTTTGAGAAAAGATAGGAGTAAATCAGCAAGAGACCCCCTTAGGGAGGGGAGGTGCAATTGATACACTCATTCATTGAACAGCTCTTCGTTCAGCATCATCATTTGTTCCATGATAGGGACTGTTTTAGACTTTGGGAATCGAGCTGTGTACAGGACAGACAAGGGTCCTTGCTCTCCTGAAGCTTACATTCTGGTTAGTGAGAGAATACTTGCAGATTGCCATAAGCACTGTTAGAAGTAAACGAGAATAACAGGAGTACCTGAGGTGCAGGGGCACTTTTGGGTACTGATGTCAGAATGGGGGCATAAAAAGAGAGAGAGACTTTCATATATATAACTTTGTATGCCTCCAGGAGATGTTGAGAATTGCAATATCAGTGTTTATGTGGAGCTTATAGAAACAAAAATTAAGAACCACTAATTTAGCAGATGAGGAAACTGAGGCACAAGTGTAAAATCGATACATTTTAACATATCCAGAGTTGTATAACTCACTAGTGAATGAGCCAGGACTGGAATCCTGTTTTCCTAGTTTCCATTCACATTCATTCATTGTTTGTTTTTTGTATTTTTTTCAAATGAACGTTTTTAGCCCCCCAATCTGAGCCCCACCAAAATCGTGTTTTATTGACATGCTTGATAAGTTAGGGGAAAGTCTTGGGAGCTGCTTTCAGATGGGATGGGAGAAGCCCATAAGAAGTATGCACAACTAATCTTAGAATAGTTTGAATTAAATATTTCAAAGACCTTGTAAGTGAGAATTACGGCAGCAAGATCATTTGCTTCTGGTAAACCATACGCTTTTACAAATTGAACATTGTGCTGGGTTGAGCAGAACTTAGCACTCCCCCCCTCCAGCCTAAGAATTTTATTTAAATAAATAGATCTATAGATTTCATCAAATGAGGAGAGTTGAAGTTGGCAACCTGGGTTGATAAAGGAGATTAGGAGCTTGGTAGATGGAATGGTGAATTTGTAGAAGCAGTTCTGCGCCCTGTGGCAAGTTGAACAGCCAGGCTGATGGTGTTCGTTCGGTGGTGCCCCGTGTGTCTACCTGGTGACCCGTCTATGGGGAATTCACCCCCTGTACCTCAGTCAGTGGCCTAGACTCGTTTTATTTGTGGTGCATTTCACATTGAGTGGATTGAGGCCCTGCCAGCTTCTGTCACAATGTGGAGCAGGGTTGGCCAGGTAGTAAGTAGTTCAGGATTTGGAGCCATAGGGTTTCTGTTGTAATTACAGATCTACCATTAGCATGAAAGCAACTATAGGCACTGTGCACGTGTGTGAGTTGGCTGTATTCCAGTAAAACTTTATTTGCTGAAACAGATAGTGAGCCAGCTTTGGCCCAGGGCCTCGGTTCACTGACCTTGCTTTATTGTGAGGTCAGGTATATGGGACATGCTTAGCAACCCTAACAAACAAGAAATATTTTTGCTATTCCTTCCATCTTTTTTAACTTTGGGGTAATTTGAAATTGCAGTCAAATGAATCTGGCTATTCAAAGAATGCAGTCTACGGTTTGACCTTGACATATCAAAGTCAAACAAAATGCATTTTGATATTTTCCTAAGTTACATTCTTGTTAGGTAGCCTTGCCCCTTTTTTTGACAGATGTAAGAAGAAAATCTTTTTTTATTTCATAAGCTCTTACTTCGGAAGAGAATACTATGTTTCGTAAACAAGAAATACTGAGATATAGTCCTTTTTAATCAGACAAAACTGAAATTAAAATATATTGGGATAGCTAATCATTAGAAGACTAATCAATCAAAGTTTGTTTTAAAAAACCTTACCCATTCTTTATTTGGATAGACTGTTCATCCACCTTATTACAAGTTAATTGATGTATGCCAGGTCAAGAAATGGCATTTTTAATGAAATGAAATATTATCCTGCTGTAATAATGAGTCTCTGCAGATATATGGAAATGTGTTTGTGAACTAATGAAATAGGAGAAGAATTTAGTCTCCTTGTGATTGGAACTGTATAAGAGTGTGTTTGATATAATCATGAGGAGAAGGGAAGAGATTTTTGGCTTCTGTTTTTATTGTCTTCAGGAAATTTCCGTTTTAAAGTTGGTTCCATATATAAATAAACAAAACAATTTGGTGAGAATTTTAAAAATCCTTAGTGGGCTGCAATATGAAATGAAAGTAAAAATTTCCTTTCTAAGCCTTAGGCTAATACTTAGTGCATTCATACCATTTTAGCAGCATTTGTCAGAAAGGAAATTTATAAAAGTTGGTGGATTTTTTTGGGGGGTTGCCATAATACACACTTAAACTTGTTCTGCAATTTTCTTTTCATTTGACCCTAGATGAGCCACTGGAAGGTAGCCTTTTGTTAAGTTTCCTTTTGTGCCTTAAAATCTCCTTGTTTGCTTGTGTCCCTTCACTTGGTCTTTGCGAAGTGCCCCTTGTCTTCGCCAAGACGTGCCTCTGGCCCCTCCCCGGCTGTCTGGGCAGCTCTCCTTTTCCTTGCGGCAGGCCCTCCCCTCACTTCTGCCCCGTCACTACGTCTCTCAGAGGCCCGGTCCCAAATCTGTGAATCTTCTTGGCTTTTTTTTTTTTTTTGGTGAAGATTAAGTATGTACCAGTAAAACAGACCAGACCAATGTTGGGCATATGGCAGCTGTGTAGTAAATTATAGTGGTCATCCTTGTTATTTTAAAAATCCTACATTTTATCTTCTTGACTGGTTCATTCTCTTTTAACTGCTAGCTTGCTCATGTATGTTCTCTCCTAAAATACATTGCTCACACTTGTCCCTGGAGCCCTGGCGCTTTCTCCTTGTCACCGTTGCTTTCACACCTCTGCCATGGAAACCTTGGCGATCTACCTTCCAGCTCCATCCTGGCTCCATCTCGCTAAGTGCCCATGTAGCCACCACACTGTGATTTTTTTCTTAATCTCCCTCTTCTACCCTCTTGCGTTCTGGAAGCTGCCTCTTTTCTTTAGCTTCTGTGACAGGCAGCCTCCTCATCTTCCTGGTCCTGTTTGTGGGTTTCCTCTTTGCTTCTCTGACTTTAAGTCCTACTGTCGGCTGCCACATGTTTGTGCCCCGCCCTAGGATCTGTTGTTCATCTCTTTTCCTCTCCCCTGCCCTCAGTGATCTCACCTCCTCCTCAGGCTTCGGCTGGCCTGTGCAGACGACTGTAACGTGTGTTGCTCACCCACCTGTTTTGAGCTTAAAAGTTTATATCTTAAGAGGTCAACCTAGGGGATCCATGGGCATCTCAGACTCAGCATGTCTTAAACCAGACTCATCTTTCACTGTCCCCACCAGCCTCTCCAGTGCTCCACCTAGCTGTTGACAACATACCATTCTCCAGCCACCAGGTTGGGGCGCCGACCTTTGCCGCATCTTGCCCTCATTCTCCACATTGCATTTGTTGCATTTTTCAGATTTACCCTCATAAAATACTTTTTCTTTCAAAAATGTTTTGTGTATCCATATGTACTGAGAGATAATCTGGAAAGAAACTCATCGAAATGTTTAAAGTCGTTTTATCTCTGGATGCGGGGATTCCGTACGGTTTGGGTTTTGTTTTTTGTAACAGGCCTTTATTACTTACAGACCGTTGTGCCACCCACAGTCTGCCTTCTCAGCGCCCCTGCTCTGGACTTCATCTGCTGGGCTCCTGGCTGTTTCTGTGCACACGCGCTGCTTGCCCTTGCGCCTTTACTCAGTGCCATCCATTCTTTGTATCTCCACTCACCATTTCCAGGGCTCCTTTCAAGTAAGCTTTCCTTAACGAAACGCTTCTCCAGCTGAATGTCCTTCTTCCTTCCAGGAGCCCTCTGGTCCCTGTGCCACCATCTGTGTTTTGCCTTATGGTCACCTTACCATGTGTTTTTGTGTTACTCCCTTTATTAGATTGTAAGCCCCATGAGGGCAGAGATTGGGTCTTACTCGTCGTTTTCAAACCCTTTTGGTTACAATTTCCCAATTTTTCTTTGGGGGACAACCCCTTTTCCCACTTTGGTGGGATGGCAGGTAAGGTGTCCTGCCAACAGGATGCTCCTCTGGAATTTGAATTTTGAGTCGTGGGATACAAGGACTGACAGTGATTGGCACTGATTCAGCCTGGCAAGGTGCTCTGAAGAAGCCACTCGTTAGTTCCTGCCTCCCAGATCCCTGGAGCTGCTCTGGTCCCTGAACTCTCCAAAGCCCGGTTCTTCAGATTTTTCTTCGTATCTGTGAGCTGTCTCATATCCTTACAATAAATGTCTGTCTCTCTCTCTTTTTATTTTAAGTTAGCCAAAACCAGTTTCTGTTGCTTTTACCCAAAGATTCCTACCAGTAGAGCTGTTATGATTGGAACTGACCAGACTTAATCGTTCTAGTTCTTATATTGGTCCTGATGGTATTTTTTCTTTTCTTTAAAAATGAAAACAAAACAAAACAAAAACAGCCAGAGACTGCTGCTGCTTTGAAACGTACGATAGAAGCCCTGATGGACAGAGGAGCAGTCGTGAGGGCCCTGGAAAACCTGGGTGAACGAGCACTGCCGTATAAGATGTCCGTGCACAGCCAGCGGCACAGTCGAGGCGGGTGAGTGTCCTCGTGAAGCGCTCGGGAATGAAAAGTACACTGTTCGTCAATAGTAGACATTGTCATAACTTCACAGTCAGCTCCTCAGGGTGCCCGGTGTGGTGCACGCACATGCCCTAGCAATGTTGTGTTGCAAACGGGATGCAGTTATGCTGGCCCTAAATAGACTATAATTAGAGCACAAAAACAGGCCAGCCTCGGAGCGACAGGCTGATAAGCTCTTGATTGTGGGCAGCTTTTCTTACCAGCCTAAGCAGTGTTTTCCCCTGGCATTTAATGTTTGCCTTTAGAACACCTTAGTGAACAGTGTTGTCCACATACTAGACTAGTGCATCCGTCGTAAATATGTAGGTTGCAAACTGTGCTGCTTTTGACTAATGTATATAACCAGAGCCTAATCTGCAATGGAAAAACGGTTTTATCTACTCCAACCAATGGTCACAGTTTTCCGTAATGGAACTTTTTCTCCCACTGTGTACAGCAGCTTCCTCAAACATATGGCAGGGGTTTGATTCTGAAGTAATAACTATCTTTGTAGAGGTTCTTTGAGAACAATACAGAATTGCTTTGAAGCTTCTGTAAGCCCTAATGGTGGCTTTTTTATACCCGTGGTTCTGATTTGGGGGAAGAAAATCTCATGTTGGGTTTCCTAGAAGTAGGTGTTAGAGAAGATGGGAACTGGTTTTTAGTATGGTGGGGAAAGTGCAGGGGTATAGAACTCCATCCTCCCTCGGGTCCTCCGTGGCTCTGCATCGCTCCGAGCAAGTCACTCAGAGTCTCTGATTCCAGCTGCTCCAGGCACCGAACTCGGGTGAGCCTCCTCCCGTCTGCACCGTCAGGGGCCCAGGCAGGAGAGTCTCTCAGACGTGCTCGTGGGCAGAATGCTGCTTTTGGCCACGTGGAGCTAGTGGTCTGGTGCAGCTGCGGTGCAGTCCTGGGGCCTGAGTGGAGTCGCGTCTCTCCCATCCAGGCTTCCTTACTGCATGTAAACCTTCTGCCGTACTGCACGTTCCGTCTTCTGATTGCTTCACCTTGTTTTGTGCTAGTGTTCAGCTTCTCGAGAACACCTCTGAAGAGAGTGCCTGCACGTTGCTAGGCAACAGGAAATGCAGTGGCTAGGCGTCTTCCGTAGGCTTAACAATGAGGGGTGAGTGTGTGTGGGGAATGTTTCTTTCTTTTCTTTCTGTGTAACCACAATGGGTTGGTTTAGCAGCAAGGCTATGAATTCTTTCGCCTGTTTGTTTAAAGAGCATATAAAATCTGGCCACAGATTATTAACAAGGTTCTTGGACGGAAGGCACTGATGAGGAGAGAAGTCAGGGCCCTCATCCACGTGGTGCTTGTAGGGTGTCCGGGAGGGGTGCTTCCTTTCGCCCTCTTTCCAAGGAGAGGATATGATTTTGCCGAGGGCTGGCGTGACCAGCATCCTAGAATTTGTACTTCTCACAAGTGCCTGGATAATGATGGTGCCACTTGTCTGAGGACCACACTTGGAGAGCCAGTGTATTAACTCATTTAGTTTTCAGGCCTCTGTGTACCGTGCTAGACGGTCGGGGGAGAGGACTGCTGTTTCACTTTTCAAGTGGAAAAAATTCAGGTTCTGGAAGAACCCCCCCGGACTAAGCCAGAACTGCTGAGCACACTGGCCCTGCATTCTGACTTGCTGACAAGGGGCACGTGCCTCACCGAGGACTTTGTGACTGTTGCGTTCACTTCGCTCATTGACATTTGAAGACCTTATTTCTGGTCCTTTTACTTCAGACTCCTCAGCAAAGGAGAAGCAATGTTCTATATTACAGACACACACAGAAAGGTGGTGCCCCGCTGCAGTGGGAGAGGTTCACGTTTTAAGCTCATTTTTCTGGCATAAATCAATGTCTGGTATTTATTTGTTTAAAGTTATGTTTTTTAAAGTCTGGCCCCCAAAACACTATTGGTATAGAGGTGCTCCACCAAAAGAAAAAGTGGGGTGTTTGCGATGTGGAAGACTCGCATGGTCTAATCCCTTAGGGCAGCGGTCCCCAACCTTTTCGGTGCCAGGGACTGGTTTCATGGAAGACACTTTTTCCACGGACTGGAGGCCGGTGGGGAGGAGGGTCAGGTAGTGATGCCAGCGATAGGGAGCTGCTGTAAATACAGATGAAGCTTCACTCGCGTGTCGGCCACTCACCTCCTGCTGTGCACACCTCCCCCCTTTCCTAAGTTTCATGGAAGACAGTTTTTGCATGGGATTGGGGAGGGACTGAGCTCTGCGGCCCTGTCCTTAATAAGCCTGGGACCGGTACTGGTCTTCGGGCCTGGGGCTTGGGGACCGCAGCCTTACAGAGATTCACAGTGCACACTGGCATGTGCATTGGCCTGTTTGATGGGAAGTCCTTCAGTAAGATCCCTTCGTTTATTAATTTTATTTGGCTATGTTGCCTTTGATTTTTGTAACCTCCATGAATATGCTCCACAGTGACTTTGGGAAATGAGGAAATGAGGGGCTAGTGTAGTTTATAGTTACCTGGATAAGGATTTGGAATTGAGTGGCGTGTCCAGACGTCTGTAGTGTGGAGCTTTAAGGTTTGTCTGATACTCTCTTGGCTTCAGGCAGTCCCTCCACAGTCACCAACCCCAGTCTTGTCTGTTACCAGGCTTTTTGCTCATTTGGCAAGTTCTGTGTGCACATAGCCAACAGAGGTGTTAGAAACGTTTATTGAGTGGATTATGTGCTGTGGTGTGCATGGTACCGGGAAGTTCACTTATCTGAAATGGTTGGGAAGAAACAGTGGTCTTGTTGGTTATGCATTTAGCATTCCAAATTTTGGCCCTTTTTCAACGGCCCTGGAGGTGATGACAAGTGTCTGCAATTTTGGGGAGGCACTGGTCTGACGTTGATCCTGACGCTGGTGTAAGAGCCGGTGTTTTAGCTAGAGCGAGCCTGGGTGCTCTGAGAATGCAGGTTCTATTGGGCCCTGTTGGTGTCATGTGTTTAATGCTTTTACATTTTGTGGGGAGAAATGGTATGTCCTAGTTGTATCGCTAGGTCTCAGGTTGTTTCTTGGGATTGTCATGGTTCCTGCTCTCAAGGAGTGTTTCAGTCTAATCAGGGAGTTGGCTACGTAGTGCTAACCTAGGCATCGGCAAGAGGTGTGAGTGAAGGTGCCCAGAACAGCAGGGCGTAGAGCCAGGCCTGGGGCTGTGTCAGGCGTCTCCGTTCCAGTTATTTCCAACATGCTGGGTGATAGCTCCACCGTTCTCTAATCCCCACTTCCTCCCTCCAAGCCCATCCTCCCCACTCCTGCCCAGTAGGCTGGAAGAGAGAAGTAGGTAGGAGAGACCCTGCTGCTCTTGGGTTATCTGAGAAGTCTTCCCAGAGCGGTAGGATATACTTTGGAAGTGGCACCTGGTGTTTATTATTATATCAAGACTATTTCCAATTTATGCCCAAAATAAAAATATAGTCATTCTAAATATTAATTTAGTCAGTCTCCACTTTAGAAGCAGGTTATGTTCCAGAAATTTGTCTGTAAGTCTGTTGTTTATAAATGGGAACTTATTTTCCCACTGGAACAACTTGATGGTTAAGTTCCCAGACTGGTCCACAGAAATTTACTTCATTCATAATCTGTGAGGGTCAGTAGAACTGGGTGAGTCATTTATGTACAGCTGAGGATGATTTTAACCTTGTTTTAAAAAATGCTGTTCTGTTCCACCTGGCAGGGGAATGGGGCCTGGGTCGAGTCACCCTTATAGATGGGGACACTATCTTAGACATCTGTAACTTATTAACACGATTTTTCTGTTTTCCAAGGGCAATCCTGTCCCAAGTCAGCTGTCCCCAGGTGATGTGAATTTAGGAGGAGGGGGTGGGGCATTCACTAGATACCCCTGCTGCTGCATGGCCAGGTCAGGGATGCTGGGTCTTGGATGGAAGATTCTGGCTTCACTCACCACTGTTGTCACCAGGCAGTGTCTGGAAACCCCTTGAACATGACCTGGAGCTGAGGCCTCAGAAGGCCTGGGAATCGTCCCCAGTGCTGGATTGGCTTTGGTCTCCTTCAGGCCCCCAGGCTGTGTCCCCTTTGTGCCTCCGCGTGCTCACCTCAATATCCTCTGGACCCCGTGGGAAAGGCAAGGGTGGTGTGGAAAATTCTTACTGTCTGAAAGGGGAGGATGTCACCTAGGCAGGAGGGAGCAGCGGGAGTGGAGGCTCATTTAGCCCCTTGCTAAAAAGGGGCAGGCGTTTTACCGAGTCGTAGTAACAGTCACGCTGTGCCAGGACCACGTCAGCGTGTTACTCTGGGCTGCACGTTACGGTTCTTGTTCCACTAGATGGGTTGGGCTGAGGCTGCGAGGGAACTGTAGAAACAGCGGTCCGGTCCGTGTTGCAGCCTTGGGCTGTGCTGGCGTGTAAAAGGATGCCTCTGCTGGGGTTCGACTCTTTTTCCCAGGTCTGATTTTACTGCAGTGAGATTGGGCTGACTTCCGAATGCCTGTGTGTGTAAGAACTCTTAAGTAGTGAAAGCAGTTTTTCTCACCTGTTTTGCACCTTCTTTCCCTGTTCTTATCTGCTTTAAAATTTGGGTGGGTGCTTATAGCAGAGATCTACTGGCCTACATATAAGATACCCTTCTATTTACGGGTAAGCAGGACGGTAAAAATAACTGGCTCCATGGTGAATCAGTGGAATTTTACTGACTCGCTCCCCAAATGTGTCTGCAGCTTACTCCAAGAGCGCTGGCACCCTCTCTAGAGGAGATTGATTCTCCTCTGTAGTTTTCCCGTTAGCTAACATTTCCATGTTCTCGTGCTTTCTGCCAGCATTAAGTCAAGGCCAGCATCCTGACCCCATTCTTGTGTGTAGGTGCTCTGCGCTGAGTTTCAAGGCAGGGCTGCTGTGGCATTGGAGGTTTCTTTTTAGTGGCAGTGCCCCAAGATTTGTAAGGGTTCTGCAGCAGGTTTAGTGGTTTTTAAAATGTGTGAGAACCAACAAATAGAGAAAGAAATGGGGCTTT